GGCCGCTCGGCCCTGGCGGGGCGTTCCGAGGCCGGGGTGCCCTTCGGAGGGGCGTGCGCTCCTGGTCGAGGCGCGGGGCTCGAAGGGGTCACTGCAGCCCACGTAGGCGGAGGCGCAGCCCGACTCCATCCAGGTCTGTTCGCAGGCGGGCCCGAGGGGACCTGTGCTCGTCAGGTCTCCTCGAGAGCTCTCCTTGTCGGTTCCTTTTTGAAAAACCTCTTCCTGCGAGGCGGGGCTCTACAGATAAGCGTGTTTTGGCTTCCTTTTGTAGGTGATAGAGTCTGTCCCTCCTGCTGGGCCTGAGGCATCCGAGTCCACGGCGGATGAAAATGAAGATGACATTCAGTTTGTGAGTGTAAGTAGTGGCGATATTCGGGTTTTCCCGAGTCCCAGACTGTGTGTGGTAAGCCGTTCTGTGATTATACCTCACCTGTTCATTCAATGTCCAGAAGACACGTGTGAACGTCTGATAGGGACTAGATCTCGTGGAGCGTGGCGAAGGATTAGGTAATTTGCCAGAGGGGTCCCTGAGCAACCACAGTGGCCGTGACAAAGACTGTGGCCTGCAGTATGAGTGGTACTCTGAGCCACGCTTCCCCGCTTCACTTAGAGCCATCTGATGCTTGATGCACGCACAGTTCTGGTCTCCTAAGACCGTGTTTTGAAGTGGGGCAAGAGCGTCTTGTATACGATGGCACCCAGGTTAGGGAGAAGGGACGGCTGGTGGTGAGGAAGGAAGCGAAAACCAGAAGGGCTGCAGGAAGTCCAGATCTGAGCACAGGTGTCAACATAACATGAAGGCAGGTAGCCTGAGGACCTACTTCCCTCACCTTTGAGGTCATGGCTCCAAGCACAGTACAGCAGTGATGCTAACAGTGGAGGCCCCGCATCACCGGGAGCGTGGTGTGTCCTTGTGCGGTTATTTCCTTTGGGACAGTGATTCTCAGGCATTTACTAAGTGGAAGCTTGCGGATTCCTGATCCCACTCCAGACCTGTGGAATCAGCATTCGGAGGTGGAGCCTAGGGATCTTCATTTGGGCACAGATGCAGGAGTATATGAATCTCTGGACACATTTTGTAAAGCATTGGCTCCAGAAACCCTAGTGGATGCTCTGATCGGTTTCGGGACAATTTCCACCTAGACCTGTTGAAGTTTTACAAAGGCCCTGCTTAAAGTGGTATCTTAGTATCTTAGTTAGCTAGAGAATATGCCTACTGTAAACTACTCTGAGTCCTGTAGTTAGTTGAGGTTTGCTGTTCAAGGTGTATAATCTTTAATAGATGGATGTGTGTTTGTGTTTGTTGGTTCTTGGACAGTTTTAAAAGACTGGTTATTAAGCAGTGTCCTCTCTGCACCACAGCATGAGCCATTGTGGTGACCCAGTGTTGTGTTGTGTGTTAGTGGGTTTGTTTTGGTGTCTTCACAAGATAATTTCTTGACTTTCTTCACCTTTGCCCAAGCTTATGGTACTCTGTCCTTTTCATTTTTAATTTTTAAGATTTTTGGTGGGTAGAAAAATTGTATCCTGCTCCTTCCATTACTGTGAATTCAAGTACGTTTGGCTCTTCAGGACAAATATTTCAGATTCTCTCTGAATATTGGTATATTTGTGAACGGAGAATATTTACCTTAATATTTTGTGGGTATCGACGTAAGAATGACACACTTTATGAACTATGGGCCTTACTTTGAGAATCACAGATGGAATCTACGAAAATAAGATTCAAAAAATTTATGTATTTTTGGTACTCTGGAATGAAGAGTTATAGGGTCACTTGTGAGTAGTAAGCTTGTGTTAGACTGAAGTTTAAGAATATCGTTTTAATTTAAATATTATTTTTAACGTAGAGAATCTTTTTTTCATCAGACATAAAAAATACAGTGTATCCATCTTTATATGTCTTATATTTATCTCTGTTTCCGAATACAGATTCAAAGGTTTGGTAGTTCCAAATGGAGACATGAATTATATGTATTAGATGCAGTTACAATACTACAAGAAAGCTATTGAAAACATTTCTTCTGCCTTTTCAGTGATAACACTTCAGTGACAATAATAGCTTAGTTCTATTTAAAATTCATTAGAGACAGAATCTTCTACTTTTCTCTGTAACCCAATCTTAATCCTTGATTCCTCTGGGTAATGCTTGTTCAGTAAAGTAGTAGATAGTTCTCTGCTTCAGATTTCTTCAGATGCAAAAAGAATATTGTGATATTACTTCTTGAATACTCTGGTGTGGATTTCCTGGTTCGCTTTTAGTCAGATTTTCCCATCTTTAATCCACATGGTGGCTCAGCAGTCTTTCTGTGGTTTGGAAAATGTCACGTTCGAAACTAAACATAGCATGCCGAGGGGAAATAAGTTCATAGATGTGGAGGTGCAAAAATGAGCCCCTTCATTTAAATTTTATTGAAATATACATACAGAGAACTGCACAGTTCATCAGGGTACTTACTGTTTTATTTTTGCAAAATGATACACATGTGTAAATAGCACTTCAATAAAGAGACAGTGTTACTGGGAAGACTTCATTTGCATGTTTTGCTCTAGTTTTCTGTTTAATTTAGTAATGTGGTCCCTTATTCAGCCCCCATCCTTATTCTCTGCAGTCTTTGCAGCTACAGATATGTTAATTTACCCTCAGAAAATTGTTTTAGCTAAGAGATAATGACATTCTTCCCAGTGCTACTCTAGATAAAAAAGTATAAAAACTGCTGACGCAGCCTGTCATAATCTCACTGTAACAGCACACGAGATTGAGGCTTCAGTCAAGATTGTTGGTACAATGTGGAATCATTGAACATGTGAAAATAGTGAAGGAAATCAAGGTATAGTTTCATAAATTACATGAGATGCACACAGTCAAGTGATAATACTTTTAACTGCATAAGTGGGTCATGGACAAATGAGGGTGTGTATCTTTTGGCTCAGTATCTTGGGGCCAGTTAGCTCAGTAAATAAAAATAATGTTGGCGCTCATAATATGTGTAGTCGTGAGTTAAGTACCTTAGAGCCACAGAGATGAATTGGAAATACATCCTACCCATAAGTGTCAGTATTTCAGTGTGAGAGATGAGATAGCGTGAGAACTCTGTAAATAGTTCTAGCAGATAGTAGAATGTTCTTTTATCAAAAGTACATGGTGCTCTTAAGAAAAAAAATGTGTAGTTTACAGTTGTATGTTACTTTTGCATAGGTAGCATTTAGTGTTTGTGTGCATTTAAAAGGGTATTTTGAGAAGAAATGAGGAAAGTCATCAAAACAGAAAAGCAGAGAGGATTATG